TATACCTAAAATGACATTTTAAAAAAATGTGGTTCCATAACTAATTAAGGGGTATATTTGAAAAAAATTATAAGAAAACTCCTAAAACACTAGTGTAAGTAGTTTTTTAAAAAATTATGTTATAAACTATTTTTTAGCTTACCAAAAATTACAACTTAAAAAAATTCGAAAAATAAACTAATTTATTAGTTAGTCATGACACACGACAAATACAATCTTAGAAGCCATATCGGTAAAGTAATAACTATCATATATCCATATATCCTCAATAAAATCATTTTGTTACGAGTCTTACCGTTTTGATTCACCATTTAATATATATTACATTTTTTATTTTATTTAAGTTTCAAATATTTAGTTTTTCTTTACTAATTAATCACTTCTATTAACTTTTCATATTTTATTTACGAAATATAAATTTATAATAATTATATGATATTTTCAGTTCTCGATTTGTCAATAACGTTTTCAAACTTTTCAGTATATGGAAATTAATTACCAAACTGAAAATATATAGTTTTAAATTCATAATGATAATATATAGTTTTAAATTCAAAATGATCGCCTCGAAAATTAATATCGATAACTTTATATCATTTATTTAATAGTCTATCATAATAAATCCAAATATTTTTGTCAAATGTCATGTATTCATTGCATTTGATAGGTATTATTTTCTAAGATTTTTTTGATTTTTTTTTCCACTTGTTGTTTTATGGTTTTTTTTTCAATTTATTAAATTTCACAAAATATTTATATATAATAATTGTAATAAATGTAATAATAATAATAATAAATGCATATCAATTTCATTAATGTAACTTTCCTTTAAAATTCTAAATTTTCTAAATTTAATCCAATTATTTTTTGTTTATTTATTTAAATTTAAAAGAGAAATGAATAAGGTTAAAAATTAAAAATTAAACATTACATTTCAATAATTCAATATTTTTTTCTTTATAAATTCAAACTTTCTAAAATGTAAAATCTCCATACTTATTTTTTTAAGAATAAACGCGTGTAGTATACGCGTCTCACAATTAGTCTATACTAATAAATCAAAATAATTTTAACACGTGTCAATTCCTCAATACTTTTGACACATGTAATTATGCGGGATTTTTGAATTACTGAAATTGTACATGTCATTATGTGATATTTTTATTTTTTTATTAATAAAAGTTAATCAGTTTCACTAACTAATACATCTATTATATATGTAAAATATGCATTGTATTAAATGTCTAAATCAACACTGTAATTATGAAAACATTTATTATTTAAGGTAAATATATTTTTCTCTGTAAAATGAATATAATAGTGAATTTACTTTTAATCTTGTTAGACTTTAAGATGATGTAGGCATGAGTAAAAAGTTGTCACTAACCCATTATCAAAAGACTCTATTTTTTGTTGTATTTGTGTATCTACAATCTTTATTTTTTTATGTTATATGACAATTAAGTTGTATATATAATTTACATTGTATACATTTAATCAGTGACGGACGCAGGAATTTACGTAGTAGTGGCACAAAACCAAAAACAATGAGTTTATTCAAGACTTTTGACACATGTAATTATGTGGGATTTTTGAATTACTAATATTGTACATGTCATTATGTGATATTTTCTATTTTTTTATTAATAAAAATTAATCAATTTCACTAATTAATACATCTATTATATATATAGAATATTCATTGTATTAAATGTGTAAATAAACACTGTAGATATTAAAGCATTTATTATTTAATGTAAATATATTTTTCTCTATAAAATGAATATAATAGTGAATAATTTGTGTTTTTCTAACACCAAATACATTTATTATGAATTGTTTTATTAAATGAATTAAAATAATGAAATGTTAAATAACAATATTGTAAAAGTTGAGATATAATAACTTTAGTGATGAGTTTTAGGATTTTAAATTTCCAGTAGCTAATTCGCTTTTAATCTTTTTAGACTTTAAGATGATGTAGACATGAGTAAAAATTCGTCACTAACCTATTATCATAAGACTCTATTTTTGTTGTATTTAGTCTATCTACAATCTTTATTTTTTTATGTTATATGACAATTAAGTTGTATATATAATTTATATATTATATATTTAATCAATGGCGGTCGCAGAAATTTACGTAGTAGTGGCACAAAACCAAAAACAATGGTTTTAATTTTTTGATTTTTCGTGTCGTGTAGGGTTTTTGTTGGGTTGACACATTAGACGGGTTGTATGTGATTGACCCGGACACGACACGTTTAATAAACGGGTTAGAACACATGACACAGACACGGAATAAATATATATTTATATCTATTAAATATAAATAAATAATTTTTTTAATGTATTCATATGTTTTTAAATGTATAAATACACTTTTAGAAATATACATATGTTTTAAAGTATATAAATACCTACTTAAATATATAAGTATGTTTTGAAACATATAAATACATTTAAAAACATATTTTTTTAGCTTTAGAAATAATTTATATATTTAAAATATTTAAAATAAATGTATACATTCATAAATATATAATAATAATAATAATAATAATAATAATAACTAATAATCAAGTAATGATATTAGAAATAATCACATTGATACATTCATTTTAAAAGGTCAAAGTTTTATACCAAAAGAGAGTGATAGCCTAGTGGTAAGGTTTAAGGCTAAGTTGTTGATGTTGTGGGTTCGAATGGTTCCAATTATAATTTTATTACGTGGTCTTTTTTAAGGAGAGGGGTACTTATAGTCACTTGTTTTTTTTTGAATTTCAAATATATATTGAGTTCATCTTTAAATCTTCCAATTGCACTTAAGAGTTAAGACATTGTATTCTCGTATTGCAACAAAAAGTTGTCAAAAGTTGTTGTTGCTTGCAATGCTTCTTTCCGAGTGACCGGTTCCAAAGGTACTTATTCATCATCAACCGAATTTTGAATGGTATCCGCGATAATTTCTTCAATGCTTTGAACCTCGTAACATTCATTATTTTCACCTGAATAATCCAACAACTCATTCACATCCATTTTGTGCCGATAATGCATTCTCGTAGTCAAGTTCTCAAGCTCACGAATGTCTTCTCCGGAATTTACATTGTTTAAATCATTTGAGACGATTGGATTAGCCGAACATGGTTAAATATTTTTTGAAGTCATGTTTGGCAGTAGAAAAAACAACTCAATGTTTTGCAACCCTTCAATATTTTTTGAATGGGTTGGACAATTATCCACTACCAAGAGAATTTTTCGACCGTGCATTTGATCATTTAGCCAACGACATGAAAATTTTGAAGGTCGATGCATTAATTTAAGAGTTGCTCATGAATATAAGTCAACTCTTTAAATTAATAATTTATTAATTTATCGAACACTCATATACAAATAAAGTTATAGTTTCCAGCTTCTGGCTTCCAGCTAACTCAGGATATACCTTATCGGTAAGAGTGTACCCATTCTTGTATGACACTTTATTCTATTGAAACATCGGCCTTCCAAGATAGATGTTGAATACTGACAAACTGTCAAGACCATTGATGTCCTCGTTGGCACCCAACGACACCAAAAAACGCATGCAATATCCAAAGATCGTACGATGCGATTGCTTCTAGAATTATCGTCGGCTCTTTATGATCATCTTGCATGTATTAATCACACCATGTATTAGAGAATATTGCCCACATCCAACGCATAATATAATCAATGCTACCTAGCATTCTCATGAACTAATGCTTGTTTTGTGTCGTGTAGAATTGGTGAATATCATTAGTCGTATTTTTGTGCAAATAGTGTTTTTGCATAAACCAAAACCACAACTTTAGCAAACTTGTAAACATTATCTTATGTAGTCTGTTCATACATCCTCAAATACTCATCCCATGAGTTTGCTCCCATGTCAAAAACCATTGCCCGAGTCTCGCATCCAATTTCTATTGAATATATGGAAAACCAACTCTTTCAAGTCATCAACTATAAGTAGAAATAGTTTTTTTCTCATTCATAACCATCCTCTAAACTTTTGAGCGTATATAACATCATCAACAAAGTAGTCTTATATGAGATGTTTGTGTCTGGTTTCACGATTTCTCCGTAAATGACTTTTTCTCGTTCTCGAACACGAACTTTCATCTTATTGTTCTCGATACAACGTGATTGGTTTCCTATAATTTTTCTGATAAAATTTGACTCTCGTAATGCCAACACATCCAACGAAGTAGAAAATGATGATGATATTGTGAAATTACTAAATGACTAGAGAATGTTGAGTATTTTTGTTACGGTGAAAAAAATAAATATGATTGGTATTTAAAGTTTGGAAAATGTATATGTATATTTATAAATATCTAACGGCTAGAAAAACAAAGGGTGGGATGCGATGAGTTCTTTCTCCTGCAGCAACCTTCAACGCACAAAACACATCACAAGATATGTCAATTTAGCAAAGAATATGTGACACCAGTACACCACCCAACTTACCTGTTATAACAGGATATATCAATTTATGAAAGGATAAATTACAAAAGTTTTTTTGCATTTGAGCATGATTGCAAAAGATCATTGTCATCAACCACATGGCCCTGCCACGTCATGTGACAACTAGAATGAAACCAGAAAACTGACATTATTGGTTTTTTTTATACAAGTTTTTTGGGTATTTGAGTCAAAAAGAAATCGTAGTACAACAGAAAAGAAAATTGCAATAATCCTTATTTTAAATAGTTTTTAGTTGTTAAAATTATATAACTCGTCTAATTTATATCAATATCTTTATTTTCACATATATTAACTAAAGGTTTTTATGTCTATATTTTTATTTTCACATATTTATACATTACATATTTGATATGTGAAATTTGTGATCTTTATACCAACAAAATACAGTTCTATTACTAAAACAAGTTTCAAACATACAAATATTTCTTATTTTTTTGTGATGTGAGCATGGTAAATCAGCAATTAGCAAAAATCAAACAAAACGTTTTACAACATAATTAACCGGAGTTAACTGTAACTTCACCGGCGCCGTCAGAACTTCCGACGTCGCCTTGCCACGTCCACACGATATCCTTCAACGCCGGTCTAATGCCTTCCTCACAGAACTTCTCGTACTCCAGAGTATCGCCGGAATCCTTGGTGAACTCAACCACCGTCATCTCTGCCGCCATTTCAAACACCTCCGCCGTCACTGCCAACGGTCCTTTCCGTCCCTCCTCCGTTCCATCTATCCTCACCTTGAAATCATCCTCCGTCTCAACGATAAACCTCAGCCCCCGCGCCGCCGCTTCTATCCTCTCCACGATCGCCGCCGCTGAAAATTTCGACGTGAACATTGACGCCACCTTCTTCTTCTCCTTGCTCTCGAACAAAGTAGATAAGTCAAATCCAGACGACATAGATGAAATCAGCTCAAAAGCGTTGAAAAACGAAGGCGATGATATTGATTTTTTCAATCCAGGTGTCGGATCTGGAGATGAAACTCTTTCTCTCTTTGATCGAAACGAGCTGTTCCGGGAAATACCCCGCCGGTACCACGGCACACGATTTATTCCTTCAATCGAGATCCGCCGCTCTGGATCCGCCATCAGAAGTTTCGAGATCAGTTTCCGAGTTTCCGGGGAGAACCACAGCGGAAACTCATACTCCGCCTTGAAGATTTTCCGGTACAGATTCATTAGATTCTCATCGTGAAACGGGAGGAATCCGGCTAACAACACATACAAAACGACGCCGCATGACCATATATCAGCCTTCGCACCATCATACCCCTTCTTCCTTAACACCTCCGGTGCAACGTAAGCAGGAGTCCCACACTGTGTATGTAGAAGTCCATCGTAACGCTTCTGCTCCGGCAGAGCAGAGAATCCGAAATCCGTGATTTTTAAGTCATCATTTCCGTTGAGAAGTAGATTCTCCGGTTTGATATCACGGTGAGAGACACCACGGCTATGGCAAAAATCAACGGCGCTAATCAGCTGCTGAAAATACTTACGAGCGACATCCTCCTTGAGCCGTCCACCACCGGAGACCTTAGCGAAGAGTTCACCACCGGAGACATACTCCATAACATAATAGATCTTAGATTTAGTAGCGAAAACTTCACGAAGCTCAACGATATTGGGATGACGAACAAGCCGAGTGGCGGAGATCTCCGTTTGGATCTGCTCAACCATGCCTTGGTCTCGAACTTGATCCTTGTTGATGACTTTAATGGCGACACTTTCACCGGTGGAGACCTCCCGGCCATGGTAAACCTTGGCGAAGGTGCCTGTTCCGATGAGCTTCCCCTTCTCGTACTTCCCACCCAACAGCATATGCTTTTCTTCCTCCATTATTAGAGTCCCATGAATTGAATGAATGGATTGGATTGAAATCGAGTGATTGATAGATCATAGAGTTGTTGGATTCATGATGGAGGAGGAAGTTTTGGAGTATTTTATTGGGAAGGATTATGATTTATGGGTTGAAATGGTGAAATGGGCGGCAAGACAGAGTAAGAAGTTGAAATTATTTGGGTTCACGTTATCCGGATTCTTTGGAGACTTTCTCTTCGTATTACAACAATACAACGTGTAAAACCAATCTTATCTAAATTATAGTTGAGAGTGTAGACTTTTATAAGGAATTTATTTATTTATTGGTTACATTGGTGGTAAAAAACATCCCTCACACTCTTGAAAGAAACATGTAACGTGAAGAACCAAAATAACCCTAAACAAATGTTACTCAACAAATATCTATTTCATGTACCTATCAATCCTTAGTTTTAGATACTACAACTAAAAATTCTATGTTTGAGTATCTTAGAGTGTGACTAGAAATTTGGTGACATGAATGAATAAAGAAAAACCTCGAATGACTATCTCGAAGGGATAAGTGTTTGGAGTATGTTGAGGTTGTTTACTTGTTGTACATGGGTTCGGCCATATAGTTACTAGTTTTTATAGTTATAAGTATGGACTAATATTATAAAAGTCCTAAATTTTTAACCCGTAATTGGAAAAAGCCCTAATATTTTTTTTATTATTGCTATGACCACAACTTTCTCGCAGAATTATCACTCTAGCCCATTAACGAGTTTCATGGTTAACTTGGTTAATTTTTTTGCAAAATCAGTCCCAAAAGTTCAAATTTGGTCCCTGAGGTTTGCAAAAAATTACACAACATGATGTTTTAACTTTATTTTTCGTTTTTTGTATACTTTATTTATTTTCGGTTTTTTTATAAATATATATACATTTTTTATTTTCGTTTTTGTATATACTTTATTTATTTTCATTTTCTAACTTTATTTTTCAACAATTTGATTTTTTTTTACCTTTTATAAATTACTATAACAAGTTTTTTATAGAGACCGATTATTATTATTATTATTATTTTTCTTTTAGTCTATAATTAAATTGAAAAATATTATCTTGAATTTAAACTATTGATATCACATATTAAAATATGATTTAATTTCCAAGTTATATAACACATTGAAATACTAATTCTCAATAAACAAGCTAATTTTTTTTAATTTTCATTTTTTCGTAACATAAATATAATAGCACTAAAGAAAAAAAATAAAAAGATAATAAGTTGGACCGAAATTACAAATATAAACATAACAAATTTATTTACTTGAATAAAAATAAAAAAAATTACAAAAACTATAAATTATATAAATTGTAATATTATCTAAAATATTAACACATTTTATATTTTTTGAAAAAGGTCAATAAAAAGTTAAAAATACAAAAAATAAAAACAAATAACTGGAAAACAAATAAGAAAAAAATAAAAAAAAAGATGAAAAAATTAAAATATAATACGAAAAGAAATATGAAAAAAAACTAAAAAAAAGCTCTAATATACTCTATATATACACTATAAAATAGAAAAAAAAAAGGTAAAAAGGTAAAAAAAAAATCAAATTGATGAAAAGTAAAGTTAAAAAATGAAAATAAATAAAGTATATACAAAAACGAAAATAAAAAATGTATATATATTTATAAAAAAACCGAAAATAAATAAAGTATACAAAAAACGAAAAATAAAGTTAAAACGTCATGTGGTGTAATTTTTTTGTAAACCTTAGGGACCAAATTTGAACTTTTGGGACTAATTTTGCAAAAAAATCAACAAGTTAACCATGAAACTCGTTAAATGGGCTAGAGTGATAATTCTGCGAGAAAGTTGTGGCCATAGCAATAATAAAAAAAATATTAGGGCTTTTTCCAATTACAGGTTAAAAATTTAGGACTTTTATAATATTGTCCTTATAAGTATTTTTAGCTAGGGATTCAATATATCAGTTTGAAAACAGTCGAGTAATAGAAGAGTTATTCAAATTCTGCTTATAGACATATGTCATATTGATCGAATCACGTTAATTATTTGTGTTGTTTTTATTGGTTTTCCTTCATTCATTGTGTAACATTATCCATTTCAAGTACCTAGAAAACCTTCACTCCAAATGCAATGTGAACCTCTACTTCTAAATGATGAACAACGATAGCTTCCCCAAACTCCACAAAAGAAATTTGTCACCAGAGCTATGTTCAAAACTGGATATCCGAAATTCGGATACGGATTTGGATATTGAATCGAATATCCAAAAATCACGGAGTTCATCTACTTTAATGCTTAGAAATCCAAGTTTACAATCGATTAAACATAATTTTAGTTAACATAAAACAATGTAAACCGGAGGTGAATATAATTTACACATATGCATAATGTTCTAGTTTTCGTTTTCTAAAGTTTCAATAGAAATTGAATATGATAATACCACAATGAGGACGTTTTAGTCGATGGATGAAACGGAAGAGGTTTTATTTGTTTTAGGATACGATAAAAACATTAAGAGAAATTGAATAATAAGAATAAATTCCAAAATTATCAAATTTAACTAGTTAATTTATACACCTAAGCGTTCTCTTGATTATTTTGATAATGATAAAAGTAAGATGTTTGATTACTTTTGCATAGATATTCAAAAATATCATCAACGTAATGTTAAAATAAAGAAAGAATATGATTATTTGTTGTTAAACTTTAATACCACCTGTTCCCTTAAAACGACAAGAATTTGATAAAAAAAATTTCTAGGTGGTTTAAAAAAACACCATCCACATAGCATGCGTCAAACTGATTCACTTATAAAATTTGATTTTTTTTTTTTTCCTATATGCAGATGATTGTGCATACTGTGCATGTAAAAAAATCATTTTTTTCGAGCAGCAAAAGGATCCAGTATGCTATGTGTATGTTTGGTATTTGTTAAAGAAAAAGTTATCCAACACTTTTAAGTTTTCATTTGACCTAGCTTGACTATAACAAATTAATTACACTTAGGTTAAAGTTATTTAACTTATATTTTCATAAAAAAAACTAAGAAGCGATCATTCCTCGTGGAAGAGTTTTTATCATTTTTGCAAAAGGCATGGCCTATGTATTTGTTTGTTTACTGTAGTCTTAAATAATTGTTTATATGTTATTATTGAGACATCTTAAAAGAAAAGGTCAAAGCTGAACAAATAACCTAATATTATGAATTATTGAGACATCTTAAAAGAAAAGGATGTTATATTACTTTTTTAATAAATCTGAGTCCGAATACATGGAATATTACGTTCCTTTTATAAAAAAAAGTTATGGTTGGTGTTTGGGTGTTGGTAATATATTGTATATTATCTTAACTTTAATACATTATCTTATTACAGCTTATTTTGAAGATAAATAATTTTGGGAAAACTAATTTCCATATGGAACATAACTTATAAAAAGATGAATGAATAGAATATATAATACATAAAATAATTTAACATTGAAATTATTATTTTACTTAGTAATAACTTCTAAAACCCACATACGATATAGGTATTCTATATAGGGTTTGTTATAATAGGGTGAGTTTAATGGATTAGACAATATCATTGGATTGATTTAGTCGACTAATCTTCTAGTGTTTTGGAAACTGTTAGTATATTAGGCGAGAAATTAAATATTCTCCTACCATTTCTTCCTACTTATCTTTCTACTCATTTGAAATGTTGACATGTGTCATATTTTGATAAAATTAATTATATTTTAAGACATTTGTCATCATTTAAAATGGGTATGAAGATAATTAGGAGGAAAAGTAGGAGGATATTTAATTTCTCTAGGCTAATATATCATATTCGGTTTTTTATATTATATATTTTAGTAACCATTTATTTAATTTAATAAGTCAGTTGCATTTATCTATATTTATCATGTTATTTACTTGATTTAATGAGTTTGAATCAGTTTGTTATTTGAAAATATATTTTGTTTTATTTACTATGAAACTGAGTTACCATTTGTATTTGATGCAATCAATACAACTTTTTAGTTTGATATATAAAAATTTTATGAGTCTAACATGTTCTAACTCGTTTAGTAATTGTTAATGAACGATGTAAGAATATTGCATATTGATCGGTTTGTCCAAATTTTGTATAAGTTTAAACAATTTTAGTTTAAAGTTTTGTTTCGGTCCACTTCATTTTAGTGCTCTGTGTCCTGAGAACAAGGCAAACATATAGAATAGAAATTCTTTAATATTCCAATTCTCACAAAGAATTAAACATTATTGAGGGTGTAGAATTCTCAACATTCTTTCATGGGATCATACTTAGCAAATAACAATCATCTTTATAGTAGTTGGTTTGTTTTGGTTGTTGATATAACCATTTGTTTTCTAATTCGAAACTATTAATGTAATCGTTTATGAGTTCAATGACAACAACTTGTACGAGCGTGATTTTATTTCGATGATTAGCCTATAAACTTTATAGATTTTAACATCTAAAAGAATTATTTGTGGGGAATATTTTGTTCTCTGGTAGGTCCATTATTGGTTCCTTATTAAGCATCAACAAATTACTACATTTCTCCGTATAATTATTTTAGTTCATGTAGTCTCTTGTTTGAATTCATATTGTTGTTTCTAACATCCCTTCTTTTGGAACCGGAACTTAGTTACATTTTCATCCATCAACAAATAAATTATTGGCGACAACTATTAAATACTGTGAAAGAATATAAACTCAACAATTTCCCAACATCAACATTTCATTCACTATGAAACAGTTGGTTTTCATCAAACAAATACAAATGAAACCTCACTACAAAATACTCTCGCTCTCAGATGAACACTTGATAACAAGTGAATACAAGATCAAAGCTCTGAACCAAGAAACCCTAACAAGAAACCCTAATCTAGAGAGAATAAAGAGAAACACATATATCAGTAGTGACGAATGAATACAAATGATAAATATCTACACATTAAATACATCGGAGCAAGCAGCTCCACGGAGCA